CTTCACAAACAGGTTTTTGGGACTCCACCCTGACCCAAGGTCAAAGAGATCCAAGGCACCAAGGACTGAAAACCCCGTAATGTCATCTCCACCTAAGGGAGGACTGCTGGGAACTAAGGGTGGAGTTCAGCAGCCAGGCTTGGTATATAATCAGAGACATGTGGGCCTTGGGTTGTTGGTTTTTCACCAGCCTTCTGTGTGCTCTTGGGGTCCCAGCTCAGCAAAACCGGTAGAAATGAATTTCAGAACTGAGATTCATTAGAGAACATGTCCTTTAACTTAATCGTATACATATCAATGGAGGAAACAGAACCCAGAAAACTAAAATCTCTCTCTCTCCCTCTGTTCCCTCTCCCGCCTCATTTCTCTCCCCCCTCTCTCCTCTCTTCCCCCCCCTCATTCTTTCTCCCCCTCTCTCTTCTCTCTCTCCCCCATCTCTCTTTCTCTGTGGGTTATTCCTCTCTTCATTCCCCTATTCTGTAAATGAACCCTTCATTAACCTTTTTGTGTGTGCCTGCAGTTGAGTCTCATTATAAGTCCATTTTAAGCACGTGGGTGAGGAACCCACACTCAGGTCAACCCATTTCACATTGGGGTTGCCCTGTAGCAAGAGGAATGCCTGTTAAAGAAACCTGTAGTTAAGTTTAGTCCTCGGAAAAGAAAAACTTAGAGGGGTCATTCATATGGAGAGAGATAATTTATGCTTCCAATTATCTGAAGATCTGTCTTTTGAAAGAGAGAGAAACTTTGTTGTTGATGGCAAAATTAAAACCAATAAGTGAATTTTACTGACAGAACTTTCCTTTACATTCAGCTGAATGTAAGGAGAAAAGTTGTGATTTAAGGTACTTATTAGCACATCTGTTCTCAATGGGAGTGATAGTACTGGGTGAATGTTGATTCTTATGCACTTGAGGGCAGTGGAGGCCGGATGATAGTTACAATGGTTTCTGAGCCTCCAAAGCTCAATCCCATCCAACAAAATCTTATTCCTTATTATTTAACTTCCCTTGTTGAGCTTTCTTGGGTGTCACATGAATAGTTTTGGCATTGCCATGGAAGATACACAGATGTGTGCAAGAGCAGTAGCTCAGAAATAGGGCAAATAGATGGCTGTGCTTGGAGGACCTTTTCCTTAATTGATTCTGAGAGGCACCGTGCCTCTCTGCCAAGAGCAGAGAAACCCCTCTTCAGTTCCTCACCCAAATCTGCTTTTTTCATCTAGGACTCTTGGCTCACCACTTGTGTTTTCTCACAGCATACATCTGAAAAGATGTGAACCTACACCCCCAAATAATACACAATGTTGTAAACCATTGTTACTGCAATAAAAATAATACAATTTAAAAAAAAAGGAGATGGAAAATAAACTCCACTCAGGGAAACAACTTCAATTCTTGATGGGTGCTGTGTTAATTCTGAGACACTAATTCTACAGCAGTTTTTTGGGTGCCATTTTCCATTTCTTGATTAAATCTTGAAATACTGTTTACGTGAAAGAATTTTCTTTGTGTTTACATGTCCCCAGTGTTTGCCATATATAGTTATACCTTGCTATGTGGAACCTGCTTGCATATGCAGAGTCAACTACTACAAAAGAGACTAGCATCCTGGGATTTGGGTACCTACTGGGGTCTTGGAACTAATCCCCAACCCATACTGAGGGGCAAATGCATGTAAATATATACATATATCAGTTAATTATGTGAGATTCTATCACTATTGGCTCACTTACCATTAAGTCTGCATCATTAAGGTACTGCACACTGACAGGAACAAACATGAAACTGTATTTATGAAATTCTACTCTGACATGAATGAAAAATGTCTTGCTAGTTTATGACAGATAAACAGAAAATGAAACTGGATCTAAGTAATTTTATTACAAAGTGTGTCTTCCAGAAATATTTTTTAAATTCAACTATAGTATATAGGCTAATATATTTTGGAATTTTTATAAGGTTCTAATCAATATGTTCACTAATAATTACAGCTGTTCAATGTTTATGAGTATTCCATTTAATAGTCCTGTATTTAATAATCTGAAATTCAGTAATTTTTTTAACTTTTAAAAATTTATTTACTTATTTATTTATATCTTTTACATATTGTGTATTCCCTGTAAAATTCTTACCATCTGTTCACTCATGAACCATCACCACTGAAATTTAGTAAATCTTAGTCCCAAATATTTTCTTCTGAAAAAATAAAGAAAAGAGGGCCTTCCCGGTGGCGCAGCGGTTGAGCGCTGGGTTGCGAGGCTGCCCGCGGCCTCTGCAGCGCCGGTTCGATCCCCGGCTGCTCCCCGGCCACCAGAGGAGGGTCCCACATGGCGCTCAGACCTCTCCTGCTGCCCGCTGCTCCCCTCAGCAGTGTACTTCGGTCCTTCTGCCTGCTCTGTTCCCTGCTCTGGCTCTGGTGAATTCTCTCACCCTCCCGCGCTTCTGACTGTACCCAGTGCATGTATAAACAAACCATCAAACAAACAAACAAATAAATAAATAAAACATGCCTCTATAAAAAAAAATAAAATTAAAAAATTAAAAAAAATAAAGAAAAGAAAAAAAATAGAATTCATAAGGCAAAGAAAGTAAAAAGATGGTTTAATTCTCTGGGTACATCAGTCCGTTTCTCTGCAGACACAAATCACTGACCAGCAGACCAACTAATGGAAGGTGAGTCACAGTTTCCAGTGCATTATTTTGTCAGCTGCAGTAAGTGATAATTAAACATGGGACCATTAAGGAGATTTCATTCACTAGTTAAGATTTAGGTTGAGATATACTGCACTGGAGGACATCCAAATGGATAGAAGCAGGACAGACCTGAAGATATGGGCCTAGAAACAAGGGTCAGAGTTTGTGATACAAATTCAGAGATCAGCAGAGACTTGGTTGTGGAGGCTTAGAAAATGACTGGCATCTCTGGATAAGAGAAAAAAGCAGAAAGTCCCATAGAAAGTCTAAAGACAACAAGAGGAGAGCCTAAAAAGATATTCGGAAAAAAAATAAGCCAGTTACGATATCAGAAAACAAAAAGGCAAAGAAAAGACAGTAGCTCCTAAGAGTTCTCATCATGAGGAAAAAACCTTTTTTCCCTTTTTTATCAATCTATATTAGTTGATCGATCTTAACTAAACTGGTTGTGGCTAACATATCACAACATATGTAAGTCAAATAATTATGTTGTGCACCTTAAACCTGAACAGTGCTGTATGTTGATCATATCTCAATAAAATTGGGGGGAGGGACATGACAGGCCTTACTGTTGTTGAGAAGGTGGGAAAGGAAATGCTTGTAACAGATTTTGCTAAACAGGCAACAGTGCAATGTTTATGTAGGTTGTTATTACATGTTAAGTCATCTAGTGGGTAGGGCTTCATTTTGATCCTAGTTGATAGAAGGCAGATGTCTGACATCTGGTTCTACAACTAACTATGGCCACTGGTGTAGAGCAGCTGGCAGTTATGCCTGGCCAATCTCTGCAGATGAAAAATGAAGCACCAATAGTCGTGCATGCAGATTTTGGGAAGGTGGGGAGTAATAGAAATTGTTTCACTCAAATTACATGGAAGAAGGAAGTTTTTTTAGATTTATTTATTTATGCATACAAGAACTGGGGTACAGGCCAGAGGTGTGGGGGTGAGAGGATTCACCAGAGACAGAGTGGGGAAAAGAACAGGCAGACTGACCGAAATACACTGCTGAGGGGAGCAGCAGGCGAGTAAGGAGAGGCCTGCTGCACCATGTGGGTTTCTCCCTGGCCGGCCGGGGGTCAAACTCGTTCTGTAGAGGCTATAGATTGTTTCATAGTGTGGTGCTTAACCCCTTGCACCACCAGGGAGGCCCTGCACTAGCTTCCTTACTTCATTCTACTTCTCTGCTTTATCTCTTTTGTGGCTCTTTCCAAATGTAACCCTTTCTTGTTTAATACTCGTCGGGACTCCCCCATTCACTTGGTAGTAAACGCAAAGTCCTTAGCATTGCTTCCAAGATCCCTCATAATTGCTCCTATGTCTTTGAAGCCTTAGTTTCCTGTCACTTATCTACATGCAAAGATTCAAATGGTCATTGATATACCATATTCATACTTTTTGGCATATCCAAGTTCCAAATTAACTAAGTCAATTTTAATTTTTAAATAGGTCAATTTTAATTATTCAAATTATGATTCTTAAATGAAAACTCTGTATCTCTACCAAAAATAGCAAGTGAATTTCAATTGCCATAAAGTGAAATGTGTTAATTCTACCTAGCTAATGCTGCCAGTTGAAGGGCTGAGATTAAACCTACTACTCTCCTTGCAAAAGGAGAATAGCAAATGTTACAAAGGTATTACACACTAAAACCAAAAAGACTTTCTCCTTAAAAAAGAAGATGTGAAAAAGAATAGAAAAGAGTTATCATTCTGTCACTATGTAATGACTTATTATGAACTACCTGAAATCTGAATATTAACTGTTATGACATAGGCTCTGGGAAATACTAGTCTTTTCAAACTGCTTGTAGTTTGAGGCCTACTTATTTTGTGACTAAAACTGTCTCCTCCTATTCTTTGCCCAGCTGATTCTTCCAGCCCTATGAGACCTAGGAAAATCTTCCTGATGTGAATTTCCAGGCAAAATGTGATGCCGCTCCTTCCTGCTTCCCTCAGCATCTCATCTGCCTGTATTAGAGCATGTAACACTGTATTAGAAATAGCAGATTATTTGTCTCCTCCACTAACCTGAATATATTCCTACTGGGTATCAGGTGCAGCGTTGAGACAATCATATTTTTTAGTAGTCAGTAGTATAGTATAATAGTGATGGGCACAGATTGTGGAACAGATTACCTGGATTATATTTCAGGTCCAGCATTGTGGCCTAAGGTAGACTAATTAGCCACTGTGTGCCTCCCTATAAAATGGAAATTATAGTAGCTACTTCATAGGATCCAATGAGTTAATATACATAAAGCACTAAGAACAATGTCTAATGTAAAAGCTATATATAAACATACCATTATTACCACATTGTCCTCTTCAGTCTATGAAAGGCCTTCACTAATTTTCTTCTTTCCTGATCTTCATTCTCATTCTCCTCCCCTGCAAATGTACTCAATTGAGTGGTTTTTTTTTTTTCTATACCAAAAATAGTTCTATTCTCCACACACTAATTGGGTATCAAATAATTTAACTCTATGATGACACTATCTACCTGGAGTTGGCATTAGCTCCCAAAAAATAAGGGTGCTCAGTCCCACAAAGGAACTGCCCCCTCTTCAGCTGCCAGTCACAAGTCCAGGGGTCATTCTTATATCCCACTTATTGGCTCTAAAATGGACAGTCTCAAGACCTCCTCCCTCAGGTTTGGTAATTTGCTAGACTGGTTCACAGAATTCAGGAAAATACATGTTTTCCAATTTTTTATACAGGATAAAACACTGGAATGACCAAATGTAAAAGACGCACAGAGAAAGGGATGAGGGAAAGGGGTTTGCAGGGTTTCCATGCCCTTTCTGACTGTCTGTCTTCCTAGCAACTTGATGTGTTCACCAACCTGGAAGCTCTCCAAACCCTGTTTAGGGATTATAGGCATGGTTGATTGAATTATTGGCTGTTGGTGATAGAACGTGACCTCTTGGCCTACTCCCCCCACCTAGAGGTTTGGGGGTCCTCTAATCTCAATTTGTTTTTTTGTGGTGAACTGCCATATCCTGAAGCTCTAGAGATCTTTTCATTAGCATATAAAACACAATCTAATTACTCCAAAGTGTTAGATCTGTGGCCCATCTGGGACAAAGACCATACACATATTTCCTATTATACCACACCGCTCTAATGTTGAATTATGACCTAAAATGTTAATATATCTTTGGAGTGTATACATTGTTTTGTGTACTTGGAAAAAAAAATGTAAGTATAGTAAATACAGAAAACCACTACATATGTCGAGACCCTTTTCATCCTAGCAACCTTCCCTGTCTCTCCCAATTACAACCTCCCGAACCCCCTAAAAATATCTACTATCCTGATGTCTATGATAATCATTTCCTTTCTAAACACTACAGTTGCCTGTTTCCCTTTTTTTGGTATGTTTTTTAGGTTTCCTTATTATCTAAAGATTCCCTGTTCTCTTTTTTTCTTTTTTCCTTGGAATTTATTTGTTGAAAAACCAAATTAATTAATTCATTTTCTGTAATCTCAATTTATCGATGGCATCCTGTGAAATAATTTAACATGTTTTCTGTCCTTTTTATTTTCTATAATTTAATATTTAGATCACCTTGAGGGTCAAAAATTAAAGTATTACTGTTCAACAGGGTACTATGGACAAATTTAACAGACCAGTTGTTTGCAATATCTAAAACAGGAGAGAGAAAAAATATATATAACTATATGTGGGAATTCACCTAATAAAGTATGCACAAGATCTTCAGAAGGATTTCTACATATATATATATATATATATATATATATATATATAATTAAAATACATGAAAGATTCGAAAAAATAGATGCATAGTTCATTTGAGTGATAAGGTATATGGCATCCATTCAAACTTTTTTCAAGCTTGCCTCCTTGTACTATAAATCTTAAAAAGTTAAACTACGTCTACCAGATATCCTTGCAATTAAGGTTCTGAAGGTTAACAATTTTTGCCAATTAGGTACATTTAAGAGAAATTTTTAAGAAGGAAGTAAAAGCGTCCTTTCTTCAGTTTGTGTTTTGGCTGGCAAGCATGGGGAAGATACAGCAGGTTCTGAAAAACAGTTTTGTTCAACATCAGTGGAACTGGTTTTCCTCAATGCTGTAAAGAAATAATATTGAACAAAACATTCATTGAGGACCTGTTTTATTACGCAATTTTGCTTAAAATTGCAGTTTCTAAGAAACCATGTAAGATGTTAAGTGAGGATTTAACTGAATTAGTATGTCTGCAGCAGCTTTCTAGAGCAGTTATTTGCTATGTGGTTGCTGAGAACGTCTTACACTATCTTCTTAATTTCTTAATTATAGCTGTAGTAACATATTCTTAACATCAGTAATTCCAGTTGTGAGGGTCTTCGTTTGTCATGGTCTTGATGGGTGGATAGCAGCTCCCTAGATGGCCCCAATCTGTAGTAATTATCCTGGGGCACTTGTCTGATGGCCCAGGCTAAAGCCCATTCTCCTAGCTCTTTCAGCAATTTCCTAAACACCAACACCCTATGTCAATATGTAAAAATATGAAATACAAAAAGTTAATTACCCCACCATATAGTAAGATTATTGAGCCTGTGTACTAATTTAGTAATTGTTGATGGCAGATGCTGGGCCTATGGAGGCTCATTACATTATTTTTACTTGTATGTGCCTTAAGATTTCCATAATAATGTAAAAAGAGTACTCAGTCTGGTGTGCTCAAAAAAGCTAGGGCTGGAATTATAAATTTGGGACTTAGGAAAATTAAGATAATATTTAAAGAGGCATGGTACTGGATGAAACCATTCAGAGTATAGATAGAAAACACGACTAAAATGTGAGCAACTCTCATATTTAGAAGTCAGAGAAAGAATATTAAGCAAGATAGACTGAGAAGATGCTAGTAAGATAAGAGGAAACCAGAAAGTGAAATGTCTGGAAATTTAGAGAAGAAAACATTTCAAAAAATGTAGAAGTGGCCAAATGTGTCAAATGTTACTAATAGCTGAAATGAGAACTGAGGATTTATCTTTTGAATTTGTTGAGAGGGAGGTTAAAACAATTCTTTTGAGAAATTTTGCTATAAAGGGAGCACAAAAGTTAAGTAGTGGCTAGAGGGGTATAGAGGTAAAAATTTTTTTTCTAAGATACCTGATTCTTAGTCTATTAGTGTACTAGTAGGATGATCTAGTTTAAAAAGGAAAACAGAACTACAGAAGGGAAATAATACCAGAAGACATAAGGTCCTGAGAGACTATTTCTTCCATGTGTAACAGTAGTGAAGACAATATTTATAGGCCCAGATACATATACAAGTGGGTAGATTTGGTGGATGGGAGATGAGGTTGTTTGTGCTTATTTTCACACTTTAAACTCTAAGTCTCAGTACCTTTACCAGTAATATGGGAAGAACCACATAAGATTCCCTATGAAACTCCAACAGAGTTAACCTCAATAAGTATTACCTTAGTGAATAATTGTTAAGGCTCTATAAGGGGCAGCACAGGACACTGAGCACGTTTTCTAGGATCCAGCAGACCGGGTAAAGGAGGAGTCAGAGTCCTCAGCGGTTTTTTGCAGGTCTTTTATTGGGATTACCAGGTACACAGCAGGCAGGGGTGCTGGGGGGCCGGGAGGCTGGCAGTTCTCCCAGCCCCCACCAAGTCTTCACTCTATCTGGGCTCTCCAGCATTCTCTGCTTCTCTCTCGGCTTCTATTCATTCTCGGCTTCTTGGCTTCTGCTGGTGTCCCCATGACACCGCCCTTTAAAGCAGAGTCTTAGCCCAGGTGAATCCCATCTACCTATGCCCACACCCCATTCCAGGTGCCCGCCATCAGGCATGCATTCAGGACCGCAAGGATCCATCATCTATCCTGATGGCGGGAGGGCAGAAAAGCCTGACATTTTTCCTTACCCTACAGGCTCCTAGTTCAATTCTCTTTTAACTCAATGAAATTATCCATCTTCAGTTTGCATTTAGTAAAATACCACAACTTAGGAGACTATGATAGATATAACTTAATGGGGTTGAGGATATCAGAGAAGCTTTTTCCTGAGACATTTAAACTAAGAACTAAATGAAGTACAGATATGAACTTGACATAGGGGTGCTAGAATAGTCCAAGGAGGTTTATGGACTTAAACAATAAAGAGTACGGGTGGCTATTATTAAATGGTCAGATTGGGAACACTTATCCTCAGTGATTTTCAATACCCCCTTGTGGATGAGACTGTTGCTTCTTTTTTTTTTTTAAGATTTATTTATTTATTTATACAAGCACTGGGTACAGTCAGAAGCGTGGGAGGGTGAGAGAATTCACCAGAGGCAGAGCTGGGAGCAGAGCAGGCAGGACCGAAGTACACTGCTGAGGAGAGCATCGGGTGGCTGGAGAGGTCTGCGCGCCATGTGGGACCCTCCTCTGGTGGCTGGGGAGCAGCCGGGGATCGAACCAGCGCTGCAGAGGCCGCGGGCAGCTTCGCAACCCAGCGCTCAACCGCTGGGCCACAGGGGCGGCCTGAGACTGTTGCTCTTAACAAATACAATATAAAGTAAATATTTTAGACTTGCTGAGTATGAGGTGAAAACTATTAGTGGACTTTGATTAGGTTATAAAGTATAAACCAAGAAGGGCAAACAGGTTTCTTCTTCCTGGCCTATTCTATTGGCAGAGACTGTATTGAGTGCTGAGTAAATGATTCACAGACTTGTTCAAACTCAGCTGTAAAGTATGGGACCCGACAATCTGTATTTGTCATGGAAAATGGGAGAACATAGGACATGGTAGCATGAGACATTCCCAGCTAAGAAGGCAACTTAGTATTTTTGGCTGGGGGGGGGGGAATATTTCTTTATTTAAAAAAAAAAAAAACTGGTATGTAAATATTAACAGAGTCTGAATGTCCTGAGCCTCTCACAAAATAAGCAGAAGCAGCTGAGGGAGTCAAAAATAGAAATTTCCCTTTTACTATAATGGAATGTTTTGTGATCCAAGTCTTAAAAATCACAGAAGAACAAGAGAGAAAAATTGGAACCAGAAGAAAAAAATTAACCTGGAACATTTCTTGAAAACAAGTGTATAAAAGGTGAATCAGGTGGCAGGTTACTTACTAGAATCTTGTGTTTTACATGACTGCTCAGTAAACATCACATGACTTGGACTTTTCAAGAGCTCCAGCATAAGGAGGAAGGGGAAAACTTGTTCCTGAATAAAGATACATGTCCAAAAAGAGGAGTATTTCTACATATTTTGTAATCTTTCCACAGCACTAAAGAGTGTTGGCACATCATTTTACCCTTTATTGTTAGGAGACTTACCCGCATTGCCTAGGGTACACCCTAAAACACGCCTTTTCTGTACTAAACTTAACCATCTAAAAATAGGAGCAACATTGTTTTGAACAAATAGCAACTGTTGCAGTTATCCTTAAAAGCAATTCAGCTATTCTCATCAGTTATTTTCTTAGAAACATCACTGTTCTAACAAATGTACTAGTGAAAAGTATTCAAAGACTACTCTTCATTGGCGAGAAATCTGCACCTATACATTCCCTTGCTCTATCAACTACATTTTTTCCAGGCAAGATTTCAGACTCATTTTTTCACATGGGAAGTATTTTCAGAGCTAAGATTACAAAAAAGGCTAATCAGATAGCATTCTGATTTAAAGTGCCATTTAAATATCGGGTTTTTTTTTTTTTTTTTGTTAAGATTGTCTTAGTTTGTCCTAGGCGCTTACAGAATTTTTTAAAGACCAAAAATTTACCCTCTCCAAGACCGTGCACAAATTCTCGATTAAGAAAAAGTGTTTTCAGTTGTAAACTGCTAGTTATAAAGTCCACGCCAACTAGAAGAATCAGCCTTTTAAAGGCCCGAGAATGTAATCGCGCACACGGGTCTAAGGTGGTTCGCCACCTGCTACAACTGATGAAACGCAGACTGTGTGGCTCCCTCCCTACCCCGACTTATTCGCTTTTAAAGGGTGGTGTTCTGAAATGCTTCCCTAACCAGCTCCCCAAATTCTATAGCCCCGTCTTGCAACCTACCAAACCAACTCGGAGAGCAAAATTAGCTTCATCGCTTATGACAAAATGTCTAATTAAAGGCGCAATTCAGGCCGAAAGGGAACTTCTAAACCACTCAGAGGATTGCGCCAACTTACACCATCCGGCGCCGAGCGCGCGGGTAGTCGTGAGCACATGCTGGGCCCCCCAACCCTTTCTGGTAACGTTAAACAGGCCCTTTTTTCTGAAGGGATCAGGGTCCCACGGAGAGCGGGCCGACTTACTCACTTCTAACTGTGCAGAACCATGCTCTCTGACCCCTCTATAGCCTTTCTCGGGGCCCCTCACGGCGATTCCGGCGCTGACGCCCAGGCGGAGGCCCGCACACCCCCGAGCAGCCGTCACAAACACCGCGGCTAGAGGCCGCGCGTGCGCAAGGAGGCCCCGCACTCGCGGCGAAACCCATTTCCTGTTTGAGGACGGAAGTGGCGCGCGTCACTTCCGGTCTCCCTCTAGCTGCCATCTTGCGTCCCCGCGTGTGTGCGCCTAATCTCAGCTGGTCTGCCCGAGACCCCCTGAGCGCCAACCCTAGTCCCCCGCGCGGCCCCTATTCCACTCCAACAAGGTACAAAACGTCTCTGGACGCCGGCGTGGGAGGAGGACGGGAACGGGGGCGGGAAGTGCCCGGAAGGAGCGAGACAGGGAGGGACAGGGCTGAGGAAGGCGATGCGACGGACAGGCGCACCCACTCAGGCTGACTCTCGGGGGCGAGGTCGAGCCAGGGGCGGCTGCCCTGGGGGCGAGGCGACTCCGTCTCTTCCTCCACCTCGCGGCGGAACCCGAGGACAGGAGCCTCAGGTACCGCGAGGCTTGCGGAGAGTGGCCGGGCCGGGCAGGCCCTGGCTAGGCCGCGGCCGAGCCGGGGCGGGGGGTGGGGGTGCTGACTTAGGCGTGGGTTAGGGCCCTTATCCTGGGCCTGGGGAGAGGGGGGCTGGGGCCTGGAAATGGGGGTCCTTTTTGGCCTCCTTGAAACTGAAATTGGGAGCTTTGCGGGGTGGATTGGGATCCAGGCCTCGGCCTGTGTAAGGCATTTTTTCCTGCTGGTGTCTTGGGAAATTACAAGCGTGGAATGCTAGAGTGAGATAGACCTTTTCTCGCTGAGGGTTTCCTGTATTTCTAGATGAAAGAAACTATCATGAACCAGGAGAAACTCGCCAAGCTGCAGGCCCAAGTGCGCATTGGTGGGAAAGTAAGTAGTAATATTTCAAAGTTTCAAAGGTTTTTTGTTTTTTTGTGTGTTCTTTTGGCATTTCTGGTATTCTTGTCACTTTGTCTAAAGAGAATTCCGCAGAGTTGGCTACACAAGGGAAGGGGAAGTTGGGGACTAAATCAGAGACACAATAGAGTATATTAATGAGGTCTACAAGTTGTATGTTAAAAGGAAGAAAGGTAAATCAATATGGAAAGTGCAATTGAACTAGGTCCATTGCTTTTATGTAAATGTTTTCACTGTTACAGCGTTCTTAATTAGTAAGAAAAGTGTTATTTCAGTAAGGTCATCATTGTGGCTGTATCTTTCAACTGGTTTAAGGTTCAGAATAATGCTTGTGCTTAATAGTTATGTTTCTCGTAAAGTAAGACCTCTCTTATGTTTTCTTAGCTAAATGTGATCTAGAGCAGTTGGTATTTTCTAAGATATTGGAAGATATCTTTCACCAGATACATTTTGGAATTTAAGAGCAGTAGACTATGGATTTGAAAATAGTGCCTAAACCGGTCTTTTCATTTTGACTTTCTAATTATGTTAAAATTAGGGAATGAGTGATTGGTAGGCTTTTAAATAATTTGTTTTTGCTTACTTGTTTTTTCCCTAATCTCCTTCAGGGGAATTCTTTTTTGCACTTTGTAAATTTTTAGGTTGTTTCCTAAGTAATTACTTAAATTTGAAACCCACTTTAGACAGAGATCTACCTAGTAAGTAGTATTTTGCATTGTGTTAGCACATTCCTATTCTTTTAACAAGGTGTGGTAGCTTGTGGGAATAAAGCATGTCTTTACTTGGTAAAACTTGTAAATCTTCCATAGTGCAAGTTTATTACCTATTAGTTTTTTTCCAGCTATAAGCATTAACAATCAAATGGTCTACCTTAAAATATCCAAAAGTTGCACTAGTAAGTTCGTCTGTTAAAATACTAAACTATGTAAGTAGTGAATGTATCCTGATCCTTTTTTTAATCCACTGAAACTAGTAGTCTTCAAGAACTACACCTACCATTAACAATAGTAGGTGTTTCTTGCTCTTTTTAGTAATTGTTGTAAGTTGGGTGTGGCCTTCAGGTCCCAGAAAAACTTGTCACATTCTTAGTGGATCAGTGTTTGGAAGCTCTTATATTGGTGTCTTTTTTTTTTTTTTAAATACGAGCACTGGGTACAGTCAGAAGCGCGGGAGGGTGAGAGAATTCACCAGAGCCAGAGCGGGGAGCAGAACAGGCAGACTGATGAAATACATGGCTGAGGGGAGCAGTGGGCGCGGCAGGTCTGCGCATCATGTGGGACCCTCAAATGCTGCCTGAGCAGCCAGGGATCAAACCGGCGCTGCAGAGGCTGTGGGCAGCTCTGCAGCCCAGCACTCAACCGCTGCACCACCGGGGAGGCCCTATATTGGTGTCTTGAACCCCCATTCCTTTCAGTAGAGGTTTCAGAAGGAATATGAGTAATGTAGTTGTGTGACATCTTTTTGTTGTTGCCCTGGTTATCCATTAGTCTTTAACCTGGAAGAGATGACATTCAAGGGTAAAGAAAAGATGAAATTTAGTATAGGAAATATTTTTGCTGTCACTGTAATTTGGAGACATTTTCTTTGCCTTCTTGAAAACAATATGAAATGTGAAGTTTAAGTGGGTAAGTTTTGCCTTACAGAAATCTTCAGGTATTGGATGATTTTAGATAAATGTTATAAGCCCTTTCTGTCTGTATTTGATCAGATGGAGCATTACTGAAAATTGATTCTACATTTGTTAAGTGTACAGAACATATAGAATATGTGCTAGTTTTGTTTTTAAAATCACTTGGTTTTTTAGGATGTCTTGTAGAGAGGATTCTCTAAAAACTTGGTGTGTGCATGACCACTTATTGAAACTTTTTTGGGGTTTCCTAACCAGTATATTTTGTAGCTATTCATATTTTCTTTACTTAAACTATAGTTTATTTAAGCCTTCACTATGCTGGATTCTGAGAATGTAAAATTGAAGTGTAAAGCCCATGGAGGGACTTTAAGGCTAGGGGAAGAGTAGGTGTGTCTTGCGTAATGCTGCAATAGAATCATTTTCAAAATACAGAAATGGGAATGATTTGGTTTGGGGAGTGGTAATTGCGGTTTAAGGAAGGTACAGAAGAGATAATGACTTGAATAGGATTTTAAAAGGATTACTAGGAATTGGCATGGAAGTTGAGGGACAGTGAAGTAGGTGGGTGGTAGCCTTTCCTTGAAGGAACCATAAGTATCACATAATGGGTATAGTCTATATGAGAAAGTCCGTAAGAGTGTTACTTTAAAAAAAAAAAAGTTTTAAGCAATGAGTAGTCACATTTGCCCTAGTTCATGGAATATATGTGAGAAAGGGGAGATTAGAGGCTTGGTGTGTAAAGGTTTTTCTGAAGCCTGTATTGATTCATTCATTAAATTGTTGAGTGCCTTCAGTGGGGCAGATATTGTTCTTAATATACTGGGTTTAGCCAATAGAAGACCTCAAGGAACTTAGATTCTAGTGAGGGGAGGCAGACAATACATTATTTATCTTACTGTAGTGAGTATTACACAGAAAAATAAACCTGGATAGGTAAAAAAAAATGATCAGCATGGGGGTTTTGCTATTTTGCATTGAGTGGTTGGAAAAGGCAACTTGGATATGGTGACAAAAATCTATAGTGAGAGAGTGAGCCATGAAGATGCTAGGGGGAAAGAGGAACATTATGTGCAAAGGCTCCCATTTGGCCTATCTGAGGAATATCAGGGAGGTTTGGGTCTGCATGTGTCCTAGGAGATAGAGTTGAGAGCAGCATAGAAGGGGTGGAGCAGATCATGTGGGTGCCTTGTGTAAGTTCAGATTTTACTTTTGGGTGCTATAGCTGTCTACTTGCAGACTCATTCGACTGTGTCATGTACTGTCTTGCTGTGAATATTAATGGATGCTGATTTTTCTCTAATGTGGAAACAGAAAAGGTTAATAGTTCTGCAAATGAAACTTCTAAATAATGCTTTAGTTTGACACATGATTTCTCTTTGATCCCTTTTATAGCAGATAATTTAAAGAGTAGGACTTTGAAAGGTCAAAATTGGAAATTTAGAAGTTAAGGGTTTGTCGATACTTTCCCTCTTTCATTTAAGTGCCTTTACCTGTCTATTTACTGCATAAGTTTATGGTTATGGTAGTTTTATAATACAGTTTCAGATAATCAGAATTAGAAACTTTCCATTTGAAAAAATCTTTCATTACAGGATATGTATGTGTTTTCCTCCCTTTTCACTTTAGGGTACTGCTCGCAGAAAGAAGAAGGTGGTTCACAGAACAGCTACAGCAGATGATAAAAAACTTCAGTTCTCCTTAAAGAAGTTAGGGGTAAACAATATCTCTGGTATTGAAGAGGTAAGTTTCAAATACTGTGTCTTTATAAAACAGGATTTCTCTGAAAAAAGTTAGGGCGTTAAAATTTTTGACTACTTCCAATAGAGAATTTGTCTTTTAAAAATACATTTCTACTGTTTTAATGAATATTAGAGAGATTGCTAAGTCTGAAAGCAAGGAGATTGATTTCACATTCTAGGCAGAATCTAATCTGTTCTTCAGTGAAATACTGAGTTAGTCAGAACTTCAGTTTTTGCTTAGTAAAGTGTTTGATTTGAAAGGAATTTTGGTGGGTGTTGCTAATTTAGTTTTTTTTCTTCTTCTTCTTCTTTATAGGTGAATATGTTCACAAACCAAGGAACAGTGATCCACTTTAACAACCCTAAGGTTCAGGCATCTCTGGCAGCAAACACTTTCACCATTACAGGTCATGCTGAAACAAAACAGCTGACAGAAATGTTACCCAGCATCTTAAACCAGCTTGGTGCAGACAGTCTGACTAGCTTAAGGAGACTGGCTGAAGCTCTGCCTAAACAATGTGAGTTTCCAAGTAGTGGTTTTGCTGAGGATTACCAGCTTAATAACAGATTTCTAACAACTTGTGACACAAAGTAGATATGGATGTCTTTACTATAAATTCATTAATTTACAAATATATAAGTTTATTACAAATATAAAAATTTGGAAATGAAATTTCCTCTAAACGGTATCAGTTTTCAAGCATTTTAAGCAATTGTTCCTTAGTATATTCTATAATTAGCATGTTGTGATTATAAGCAATTCAGAGCAGTGCTCGTT